GCGCCCGCGGGAGCCGCCGACCCGCTCGCCCGCACACGGTCTTCCCTCCGGGCTCCCGGCCCGAGCCGCGGCCTCCCGCCCACCCTCCGCCCGCTCCGGGGCCTGGACATCCCTTGCCACCCCCCACCCCACACATTCCTCGGGTGCCCTTACTTCGGGGCTCTCCCCAGCACCCTTTCTCCGGGCTCCTCTCTTCTCAGCCCCCTCTCCCAGCTCCCTTCCCCAGTGTCCCCGTGCAACTTTTACCTCTTTTTGCGTCTTTGTCCACTTTGTCTCCAAGCGTCCCTCCCTCTGCCCCCTGGCCTTTGCCTGCTTTGGTCCACACGTCCCCTACCCCTGCTTTTGCCTGCTGTGCTTTTTGAGATGGTTTGCGTGGGGCGGGGGGCTACCGAGCTAGCCGTTTTTCCAATGGGGACCCGTTGGTCCGCACCTCACTTTACAGTAATTAGTTTCCCATCCCTCCCTCTTGGTCCCCAGGCTTTCTCTCCCGCTTGCCATCTCTTTTGCCCTCCCCTTCCACGTCTTCCCTCCGCACCTAAAAGCTCCCGGGGCCCCTGACCTCCCTTCCTCCCTCCCTTCGGGAATGAGTTCCCTTTGGGTTCTCGGGGGGCGGGGGCGCTGAAGAACTTCCCTCGCCCCTTTCTTCGGCCGTCTTTTAGCTTGTGGTCCCGCGGAGCCAGTCCTTTTGGCCGGGCGGGAGGGGATCTCGCGGGCCCCTTTGCTTGGCAGAGTTTTTGCTGAGCGTAATCCCCAGGCCCGCGGCGGCAGCAGCGGCTCCGCTGCCTTTGCTGCGCTGCCTGCTTTGCAGCGAGCTGGGTTGGGGTTACTATAGTTCAAACGCGCCTGAGCTCAGCAGGCGTCGGGGGTGGAGGTGCGGGGAGAGAGGAAAGGGGTTTTGCAGTGAGAAAGCATACCAAAGATTAATGGATGGCTTTGCATCACCGTCTGCAGTAAACAGGAAACTAGCCTGAAAGGAAAGAAGACCGTGTGTCTTTTTTTTTATTTTTTTAAAACACGGAGTGTGCAGTTCTGTGGAATCTTGAATCATGCCCAAAAGGATGAGCTGTCGGTGTTGCAGTGGTGACCCAGGCCAAGCGCCCAATGGCAGAGGTAGCGCCGTGCCCCCCCCCCCCCTCCCAGGGCTGACTCTTGAAGTTGAAGGATGGCACTAGTGCTGAGAGAGTGGACACGGTGGTACCTCTGCCCTTTTGGAGATGATGAGAAACCTTTGAATTGTTGTAGTTCATGTGGAAATCAGGTACCCATAAAGTTAGTTAGCTACGAGTGCGGGGCGGACCTGCTATATTTAAAACATGTGCCAATGCTTATGTAAGAGGTGGTTTCTCTTTCTGAGTGTCTTAAGCTTTGAGCTGTTTGCTTAGTGATTTGAGGTTCTAGTGTTGCCCACTTAACGTTTTCAGGACTTAATGTCCTAAGTCTTAGGACATAAGGGATAGCAGAATAACCAGAAGATCTGTGTTTTACATCTGATTAAGCTGATGTTGCTTTTTTTTTTTTACTGGCCGGGACAAAGTTTAATGTTGGATGAAGGCAGATTTTTGTTTCCCTTTTGGATGGAGGGAAGGGGGTGGAAACTTTCAACCTTAAATTAGTAATTGTACTGAACAGCATTTACTCGTGCCATGTGACTTTTTTGTTTTTTTGGCTTTGCCTTTTAAAAAGGGACTTTATCTAAAATAGATGTGAGTGCAGTTTATTTGGTAAGATTACCTTTGTCTCCATTTAGTATAACTTATTTATTCAACAGAAACCAACTGTGGCTCAAAAAAAAGAAGCAATTTAAAAATATTTTCAAGATGGTTTGCTTTTGTATTAAAAGCCAAAAATACTGTATTTTTTCGAACATGTGAAATATGAGGCACCACCCCTTCCCCCAGGTGTTTATATACCTCAAAGTCAACTTGAAATCAGTGAGTTTGGGGTGGTTTTTGTTTGTTTTTGGTTCTGTGTGTTAACTAGTTGGCAAATATGAGTGTAGTGTGCAACATTGTATCGGTATATGGGATAGCTATGAATGTAAGTGTTGATTATTGCTTTTTCAGTGGGAGAGTGACAACTGAAATGGTGGTGGTCCTCTTTAGTTAGCCATTGTTGAACCCTTTTTTGAGTTTTTGAGATTTTCTAAAAGCTGTTTTACTGTGTAAAGTATCTTTAAGTTTGAGTTACATTTGACTTAAGATAATTTCCAGGGATATCACGGAACACTAGCATCACTGTTGTGTTATATGACCCAAAAGGAAATTTTAAGTTCTGCTGAAGAGGTAAAAAGTGGAAAACTTGGACAGGGCAAGAAGTAGTTTGGATATTTGCCTTTTGGGTGTGCCAGGTTTTTACATTTCCTTTGCCTTTGGCTCTCCTGTTTTTGTCTAGGATGATTTGGTATTTTGGTTTTAAGAGATTTTTGAGTTCCTGATGTTTGTTTAACGCTTACCACAAGGTCAGCAGTTCAAAATCACCAGCAGTTCTGAGGGAGAAAGACGGGACTTTATACTCCCAGAGAGTTGGTCTCGGAAACTCACAGGGGCAGTTCTGTCCTGACCTGTCGAATCACTGTAAGTTGACATGAACTCAGTGGCAATGAGTGAGATGTTAGTTTGGAATAAGTTCATTTAGTTCTGTTAAAAAAAAAACCAAACTAGGAAAATGATCAATTTTACTCGAGCCAAATAGGTGAAATCTCTGTCTCAGGCCATGAGGCTTCATGTGTATTCATGCTCATAATCTAGTGATTAGGCCTGAGGTAGGAGCAATTTCAGGTGTCTGCTGATAAGGTCCATATTGCAAATTTTTTGTTTAGTTTTAAGTTTAATGTATGGGCCTAGACATAGCCCACAGGCCACATGCGGGTCGCCGAGGACATTTATCCAGCCCACCAGGTGTTTTTGCCCTGCTTGTTTTTTCACTTCAAAATAAGATAATGTGCAGTGTGCAGAGGATTTTGTTCACTGTTTTTTTATTTAAATTATAGTCCGCCCTCCAACGGGTCTGAGGGACAGTGAACTGGCCCCCTGTTTAAAAAGTTTGAGGACCCCTGGCCTAGAGAGTAGTGTTCCGTTTTATGATCACTCTTTCACACACGTAATCACTGCCATTGAGTCAGTTCTGACTCATAGTGACTCTATAGGACAGAGTGGAACAGCCCCAGTAGGTTTCCAAGACTAACTCTTAAAGGGAGTAGGAAGCTCATCTTTCTCAGTTTATAGTGTATGAGAGTCAACACCAAATCACATGCCACTGTTTAGAAGGGAAAAATGAGAAGGGTCTGGAAAAAAAAGTGTGTTTTCTTTTTAGCTTTTCCCTTTACAGCTTACAGGTAACTTAGTTTGATTTTCCTTGGGTTGAATTTGCTTGTCTATGACTGTTAAGTAATGACTCACGTGCCGGAGCCAGTGAAACACTCCGTGAGCATTGGGTTTATTACTGAGTATATTTCAGTCTCTGCCAGATCCTTCTTATACATTAGAGTCTTGAGTTTACAACGAAGTTGCTTGGGGTTCAGTCTTTTTCCTGGATAGTCTTCTGTATTGACAGCTGTAGAGACCCAAGTTTTTAAAAAAAACATTTTTAATGCTTTTATTTGTGAAGGAGTGATGGTATAATTAAGAAAGAACATTTACCATTTTGCTAATGGTCACAGGATTGCTTATTCCTTTATTAAAACCACTTCTAACCCCCTTAAGGTGTATAATAAATGATTTAAATGAGTATGTTTGAAAAAACCCTAAAACCCCAAACTTAAAAACGGCAGGTTCTACAAGTCAGATGAAAATACATATGGACTACAAGTAGTATTACCTTGGCAACAGCACTTTGTGCTGTTTGTAAAAAAAAAAAAAAGTAGTGATTTAGATTGGATTCTAGAATTTGAAAAATACTAGTAGCTACTTTATTTTTTATAACAGTAGATGAAATATCTACACATTTTGTCAGTGCTGTTGCTATCACAGTGCGTGGTAATTTTCAGAAACAGCTCATGGTTTCTTAGAAAAATCACTCGTATATTTTGAGCTAAGCTAATTTTGTAGAGATACCAAGTTTCACATCAGATCAAGGTGTTATTTCCTCTCTATATACTTAGACCCATTATAGACCCCCCCCCCACCCGTGATTATAATAAAAACATTCTAGAAAAGTTGACAAACACAAAAGCATAGAAAGAAATTAATAAATTGTCCCTAGTCTTATTTCTTTCCAGGATTTTATTTTATATTATCATGGCTTTTGAGAAATTTACTTGAGTTTCATAAATGCTAAATGTGTGGTAAGTGTCAATTAGAGCATTTTTCCCCAGTGCCTTTTCCTCCTTAAGACAAAGTTATTTGTTTCTTAGTCCCGTACAATGTTATTGTTCATAGAAAATGACAACGATCCTGCTAGTTTGAAATAACCAGAATGACACTATTTATAGAAACCGATTTTATATTATTCGTAAGATCATATGTATGTATGATATATATACAGTGAACCCTCGCCACTTCGCGCTTCGACTTCTGCGGCTTCACTCTATCGCTGTTTTTGCGCAACAGCGCATGCTCTGTCATTACTGCCACTGATTGGCTCATACTGTACACGCTTCTGTCTGCATCGCTACGTATCGGAGCTACGTATCAGATGCATTTTTGCTTTTGTACAGTGTACTGTAATTGTTTGCGATTTTTAAGAAATTTTATCTAAGCCCTATGATGGCTCCTAAACGAGCTGCTTCTTCTGAGCCTTCTGACAATAAAAATAAGCGCCAGAGGAAGATGCTCACCATCCAGGAAAAAGTAAAACTTTTGGATATGATCAAAGATGGCAAGAAAATCGTGGAGGTTGCACGCCATTTCGACTTGAATGAGTCTTCCGTTCGCTCCATCCGTAAAGAGGAAAAAAACATCCGTGCTACGGCTACTTTCACTTTCAACAAGGAAGCAAAGCGCATCGTGGCAAGTCGTAATACTGTAAACTAGATGCCATAAAAAATATAATAAGTAATAAATGATAATTGTAACGTCCAAAATGTTTTAGTGTATTTTCTCTTTTTCGTTTAATAAATTGGGTAATACGAGTGTAATGGTGACTAAAGGGTGTTTTTTCATGTCCTCTATGCTCTAACTACGAAAATACTTGATTTACAAATAAGGAATCCTACTTCGCGGAATTTCATTTATCACGGTAGGGTCTAGAACCGATTAACTGCGATAAATGAGGGTTCACTGTATATGCATATATAGAAACTGATTTTACATTATTTGTAAGATCATATGTATGTATGATATATATATGCATATATATAGATATACATATATATATGCACACACACACACTAACATCTGTCATGGAAGTAATTGATTAATGATAATTAAAAGCCTACTAATGGTGAGCCAAGTTGAGCTGCTTTTAACTATGTGAGCAGGGAAGCTATGAAAATCAGTAAAATAGAAATAGTGACAAATATTTAACCATAGCATAGCAATCTGTCGCTATAATTTTCTTCAGAAATGAATGTTTTCATTTGTCCTGTAATGTCTGAAATTACTGCCAAAGTTAGAAAATATGTTTTAGCCTTCTCAGCAAAATTCTTGAAAGGATGTTGTCAGCGCCAACAATTCAGAATTTTCTTTGCTCTTAAAATAGTCATTTATCCACTTGCCCTGTTCCCTTTCTTAAAATTCCTTGCATTAATTTTCAGCTGTATCTTATAAAACAGAGTTGCCTTGAATTGTCCTTTTAAATAATCAGTTTGTCCAAGGAAACCTGATGGCTGCTGCCCTTCACTCCCCCTTTCCTGCCCATCAACATCTAAGCAAAGCCAAGCCGTAGAGACGCTCACAGCCCGACTCAGTCTGTGTGCCCTCCTATCTGTACTAAAGGAACAATTTGTTGTTCTACTTTGTAGAGATTTCAGACAAAAAGCTTAATTATTCAAGTTGACCATGTCGCAAGGAACATTTGCTTTTTGTATCTTTGCCATGAATTCTGTTGATTGTAAATGCAGGGCTTCAAATTTGATAGTAGGTGAAGGAGTACAAGGACAGGCTTTGAAGTTCAGCAGACTAAACGTGTACTTGTCAAATTTTTATTGAAGTTTAGGGTTTTTTAACATAGTAAATATTTTAAAATTTGCCTTCCTTTTCAAGAGACTGGAAATCTCAGATGATTTCACAGCAGTGAACGCTCCAGCTTGATTTGGGCAAGTTGTATGTGCATTGGTGCTTTGTTGCTCAGTGCCTAGATTTGTAGTGTGTTTTTTTTCTTTCTCACACAATAGATTTGTAGTTAATGAGCCTTTCTAAAACAAGTTTATAGCTGAAAATTTAACCAGAATCATAAAATTTGGCAGTGCCAAAAGTGTCAATGTGAGAAACACTGTACAAAGCTTATTGTATTTATACTAAAGGAAGGAGATGTGGTTACCAAGTTCTGTACATTCTTGCACAGTGTTCAGTCTGTGACAGTCATTGGATGTCTAACAGTTATATTAACTTCTTTTCATCGATTTTTGTCTACCACGTTTTAGGTCTACTCCAAGGTGGGGGGAAACATGGCTGCAAAGGAGAAACTGGAGGCAGTGTTAAATGTGGCCCTGAGGGTGCCCAGCATCATGCTCCTGGATGTCCTGTACAGATGGGATGTCAGCTCCTTTTTCCAGCAGATCCAAAGAAGTAGCCTCAGCAACAACCCTCTTTTCCAGTATAAGTATTTGGCTCTTAATATGCACTATGTAGGTAAGTGTCTGCATTTTCTAACCTTACCATGAGCACTCTGATTGATTTGTGCGTTGAGAGTTTGAGAAAAATGAAGTTCTGTCACATTCAAATGCAGTGGTGAAGCCTCTTTATAGTCTTGCCTTATCGTTGCTCTGAATTGTTAGATCTAGAGAGAAGCAGGCAGGGTTGTATTTATTTTACTGAATAAACTTGGAAAGCAGAAGAAAACATTCAAGATTTTAAGTGGATAAAATGTAAATAATGAGAACTACTTCTCATGCATCTAGGGCATTCTGTTTTTAATTCTTTTGGATTTTGCTTTAGAAAATTCAGTATTCTTTATTGTTTCCTAAGACAAACTTCAGGACCCCTGATGGCGTGGTGGGGTATTGTGGTGGGGTATGCATTGGGCTGCTAATCAAAAGGTTGGTGGTTCAAATTTACCACCTGTTCCAAGGCAGAAAGATGGGACTATCTGCTCTCTTAAGTACTTAGTTTTGGAAGCCCTAAACAGCATTTCTCTTCAGAATTGACTTGATGGTAGTGGGGTTTTTGGGCAACACAAACGAAGACCCTGATGGAACAATGGGTTAAGCAGGTCTGCTGCTAAGCAAAATGTGGATAGTTTGAACACACCAGCTGGTGATTGACTCTCAAGCCTAAGAAACCTTCTGGAGCAATTCTATGTCAAATAGGGTCACTGTAATTTGGTGGCACCCAAGACACACTAGATCAGTTGAATGTAAAACATTCATTTCAGTTGAATGAAAGGTGAGAACTGGCACTATAATATTTTCTTTCTTACAGACAATACCCTTGGGATTATAATTAAAATGCTTTGAAGTTAAGATAAAAGTAATAATGAGATGTTAAAGAATTTAATGTTGAGATGTGGACATGAAACACAAAGTTTATTTAGAATATAAGTGTTCCTAAGTGTATTGTGGCAGTAAGAATTGTTATTGCTTGCTGCTGTTGTTGTTAGCCGTGCATTCATGATTTGCCAGGTTTTCTTTGGTTGATTTTGTGAGGTAGATTGCTGGGCTGTCTTCCTCTAAAATGGGTGGGAAAAGGGCAGCCTGAGGGATGCATAAGGTCAAAAAAATCAGCACCAGCCAACATCACACCCCTCACCAAAGAGAAACAGCTCCAGCTAGTGCACTAGGGGTAAGTTAATGTCTGATCCGTATAGCCCAAGAATGATGTTATAAATATCCAGATGGTCCTTCTCAGAAAAATGCTCCCCTACCCTGCTCTAGAAGCTCTGTGGATACCTGCTTAGCATCATAGTAATACATAGGGTTCCACCGACTTCCATGTGATAGCTAAGTTTGAGGTACATTGGCTGGTAATTAAACCCAGATCTCCCACATGAAAGGCGAGAATTCTGAGCCACCATTGTAGTTTATATGCATTGATAGTAATGATGCATATTTAGTTACTGATGGTTGTGGTAGTTATACAATCGTTTGTCAATTTGAGAGGATTAAGAGTAAAGGGGTGGAGTCTAGTGTGCCAATCAGGGATTAAGAATGAAGGGGTGGAATCTAGCATGTCAATCAGGTAGTACCTTGATGCCCTCATTTGGAGATCTAAGGAGATAAATTTCCTAAGGAGATAAATAGCTCGCTAGAGGCGGGCGGGACATGTGCTCACTCCCTTGGAGACATCCCTGTGGAGAAGACACATGAAGAGAGAATGATGGAACCAGACCTCTGGAGTTGGAGAAGCCTGCTAGCACTGAGATGCTTACATCACTGGATCCACAAGACTTCCCACCCACTGGCCTGTGATTTTCCTGCATTTGGTGTCATTGCACATGTTTCCCAAGTTTGAAGAAGACTACAGATTGGTACCGGACACATGGGCTAATATCGGACTTAAGAACTTGATCTGGACTGGCTGAGGTGTTTTCTCAATATTCAATTGCTCTTGAATAGAAAGCTCTGTCTCATACACAAGTATGAGTCTCCTTGGCTTTGTTTCTCTAGTCAGCCGGACTAACACAATGGTATTGCATAACTTGAGATGTGCTTTGAATAGTGTATTACAATGATAATATTTTGACTACTAGGACTTCCCTTCAGAAATAAAGTCCTAAAGGTTTGTCCTGTTTTTATGAAATTTTTGTCCATAGAAGGACTTCCTAGGTTCCAAAACTTTGCTCCACGCACTCTTCCTGCTCTGAGAGTACCAGGTAAATACTTTTGGGAAGCAAGGAATTGGAAAAGCCAAGCAGCTGGAGTCAGTACACATTGAACTCTGTTGGATGGCACTGCCTTGGGAAAGTCTGCAGAGAGCAGGTTCCTTTATTCTGTAAAATGCTCTAATTTCCAACCCTTTATTAAAGGCTTTGTATGTTAGCCAATTATGGAAAATAATTCCAGTCTGTTGTAGGAGAGCAATTGGGTACTTGGCTTAGATTTTTTAGCTTAATCAGCAAAGTTCATATTATGGTTTAAAAAATGTGCTTATCATATATTATTTCTGAATCGATTGAAATATTATGATAGCAGTTGCCTAATAACCAGAAACATTAATTTTTGGAATTGAATGGGTTTTAGCACAGTTGAAAATCATACTCTAGTTTATAACTTTTGAGAACTCAACTGAGCCTTTTAAAATGCACTTATTACATTCTATGGTAGAGTAGAACTACATATTTTTAGAAATTTTCATCTTTACAATAGGTAATGTATTTATATTCCGAGTGTGAAAAGGTGTGCAGTGAAAAATACTCCCTCCTAGTTCTCATTCCCAGCCCCAACAAGTAACTACTATTCTTGTTCATAGTGAGAGGTATTTTTATATCTTTGTACGTAAGCAATGATAAATATTAGAGGCCTCTAGAAAGTTCATGGGGAAATTCCATTTTTTAAATTCCACTTTATCATGAACTTTTTTGAAGTCTCGTATATTTTTCCTAATTTTTATATATGCAGATAACAATACACATTAATTTGAATCTTGGTTTTATTTGTTTATTTTAATTTAATGCTTTGTGAAGCTATAACTGCTCTTTTTAGATATTCATGAGATAAAAGCTTTGTACTCCCCGCCCCTGTGCAACCCCCCCCCCTCAATATTGGTACCTGAACTTTTCTCTTCTGCCAAATCTTAAGATTCTGAGGAAATGTTAAGATCTGATTCTTTTTACCCTCTTCTTTCTGTTTGTAGCTGCATGATATCAATACTTTACCATAATCTGTTGAACTAATTGCCCTGTTGGTGGACATTTAGATAACTTTTATCTGTTATCTCATGCATTGACTAAGTAAATAACCTTGTAGAGCCATAAGTTCAACACATGCAAATACAGCTCTGGGGTAAATTGTGAAGTTAAGCGGTGTATATTACATTTGTAATCCACTGCTTGTATGAATTGGGTTGCTAATTACAAGGTCAGCAGTTCAAAATCAGCATCCACTATGTGGGAGAAAGATGCTCCTGTAAAAATTTAGTTCTGCCTTGTCCTGTAGGGTTCCTATGGGTCAGAATCCACTTGCTGGTAGTGAGTTTGCATTTGAGTTACCCACCTGTCAGTTTTTCATATTTTGCAAGCTCCACCATTGATATTTCAGATGCCAGCAGGGTCACCCATAGTGATGTAGTCATTACACATTGTGCTGCTAACTACAAGGTCAGCAATTTGAAACCACTAGTTCCATGGGAGAAAGATGAGGCTTTCTACTCTGTTAAGATGTATAGTCTCAGAAATTCACAGGAGCAATTCTACTCTGTCCTTATAGGGTTGCTATGAGTCAGAATTGATTGGATGGCAGTGAGAGAGGCCCCTTAGAGAACAGATCTAGCAGTCTGCTTCAGAAAGGGGCACAATTTTAAAAAATTATTTTTATTTTTTTCATTATTTAGAGAATACTTTATTAGTTTCTGTAATCAAACCCACGTAGATAACACCTTACATATTTAATACAGTGCGTTACCCCTGTACAAATGGAAAAAAATTAAGTTTAATGTTTCTAGACCAATATGGCTGTTCATATCTGTACAATGCCAACTCAACACGGTACAACTGGGATACTTTTTCAAAGTTGACAGCACAGCTAAAGTTTCCAAAAATTCAAATTATATATATGTATACGTATATATCTATATTTATATAAAAATACCAGTTGCAGTGTTATGCATCAATAGCAGGAACAGCTTTTCCAGGTTTTGCACTCATTGATTGATGGGTTGTATGTTCTAAGCCAGTCTGCTAGTCTCAGTCTTTTAATGCCTGAGTTCAGGCCGTTGATTTTCAGGGTTATTATCTCCATCTGCGGACTCTGTGATGTCATCTTATACCTTTTGTGTTGGGTGTTTTCCTACTTTCCTTTCTCAGTGTGTTGTGCATGTGTGTGTATTCTTGACTACTTTCCATCCTTGAGCCAATGCTATCTTGGGGTCTGTTTTCTCTTTGTTGCCCTCTGGGTGAGGTTGTTCTATGTGGTGGTCTCTTATTTATGTTTGGTGAGTGTTCTTCTGCCCATCCTAGGTCGGCAAGGATCTTTTGTAGGGCTGGGTTTCTTCTAACGTATTTGAGTTTTTCTTTGTCTAGGAAGACTCTTACTTCTCCATCTATCTTGATCAATAATTTGGCTGGGTAGAGTATTCTTGGGTTTGTATTTTTTTTCCTTCAATTTTTGGAATATGTTACTCCACTTTCTCCTCTTCTTCATAGTTTCTGCTGATGGGTGTGAACATATTCTTATTTGGGAACCTTTATATGTGATTGCTTGTTTTTCCCTAGCTGCTCTCATGATTTTCTCCTTTTCCTCAAAGTTGGATAGTTTAACTATTATGTGCCTTGGTGACTTCTTCTTGGGATTCAATCTAGCTGGTGTTCTTTCAGCCTCCTGAATGGTTGCCTGGTTTTCATTCATTGAGCTGGGGAAGTTTTCCTCCAAGAATTCTCTCACTGTTGTTGCAGATGACTTCTTTGTTGTGTCTTCCTCCGGTAAGCCAGTAGTTCTAATGCTGTTCTGCTTCATAGCATCAGACATAGCTCTTAGGTT